CGTGCTCCGGGGAAGGGGGGGGGGGAGGGGGGCGAAGCCAGGGGCGGACGGCGGCAAAGAGCGCCCAGGCCCGGGATCGCAAGCCACCCAGCGCGCTGAGGGGATGTCACACACTAACATGCATGGATCGTGCGGCTGCCGCTTGCGTCTCCACCGACCCCCGCCTGCCGCCCCCGTGCCGGGGCCGCCCAGGACGGTGGTCCCCCCGGGCAAGGGGGTGCCCTTTGTCCGGGCGCCGATGTTCCCGGCGGCCGGGGACGCGGCCGGCCTGAGTCCCGATGTCGCCGAGGCCCTGCGCGACTATGGCATGGCCTTGCACGATGAGGGCATGCTCCTGCTGGCCATCGGCCCGGCCCTGGCCGAGGAAGATCTCCCGGCCGAGGCCACCAACCAGCCGCCACGCGTGGCGGCCACCGGCATGGCCTACAACGTGCCCGGATCTCCGCCCGGCCCCCATGGCGAGGGCGCCTTTGCCGGCCGGCATCGGCACTACCCCCGCCAGCAGCAGCAGCAGCAGCAGCACCACCACCAGCACCACCACCACCACCACCGACACCGGCCGGGCGGCCTGAGCGAGGACCCCTCCTTCGGGGGGGCTGTCCCGCCTCCGGAGACGGTTATCCTGATTGACACGCGATCCTTGGAGTCGGTGGCCCGCGTGCCGGTGCGCCAGGGTGCGTAGTGGCGCGGCCACCCGGGCGACGAGCTCCCTGTGAAGAGCCACGAAGCGGGGCGCCGGGGCGGAGGGGAGCACGGGCGGAGGGGAGCATGGGCGGGGCCATGTCGCGCGGGCCGGGCTCCGCCGGCCGCTCCCTCCCGCTCGGCCTCTCGGTAGAGGCCTCGCACACATGGCGGTCACTGACACTTTCCGTGCATTTTGGATGCCCGGTCCTCGGCGCCGGCTCGCCCCTCCGGCGGGCAGTCTCCCCATCCGGGGAGATCACCGTCCAGGAGGTGTCCATCACTTGTCACTTCCTGCAGGAGACCTGCGTCGTGTCGGTGTACGTCCGAAAGGCCCCCGGGGCCGCTTGTCCCGCGCCCTTGCCTTTGCCCGCTTGGACCGGGCCCCGGGCCCCGGGCCCGGGCAGGGACATATCGTGTACTCCCCACGGCTTGTCCGCGCGCTGACACCATCCCCCGCTTATCGCGTGAACCTGCCGGCAGGCTGCCCGTGCCGCGGGAGCCAGCCCCGCAGACCCCCTCGCCGCTGGCCCCTGCCACGCAGGCCGGCCTGGTCCAGAGCCCGGCCAGCTTCGACGCGCTGGAAATCCCGCCCGACAATGGCCCCATTCGACCGCTCGGCCCGAGCCAGTGCCCGATCGGAGCGCTGGACCACATTTGGACCGGGCCCCCGCTGGCCGCGCAATTCATCGTGCGTCGGGGCCGCCCCGCTGTCGGCAACCCGCCGCCTGGGCCGCTTCTTGGATGTCGCGCGCCCTGCTGCTGCCCGCCCTCCGGCCCCGCCCCGCCTCGTGCTGACAGGCACTCTCTCTCTCTCTCACACACACACACACACACACACACGGGGACCTTACGGCCAGCCCGAGCGCTCGATCAATGTCGACCTCCATCTGGCGGGCATCGGCCTGTCGCTGGTGTCCATGCGCCCGGCTTCGGCCAAGTCGCTGGCCGGGCGGGCCTTCGGCTCGCGCGAGGTCGACCCGCGCGACGTGACCCTGACCGATGCCCTGGCCGCCCACACCGAGACCCCGGACGCCGAGGACCTGTGGCCGGGCGGCCTGGCGGGCGTCGGGCCCGGCGGGCCGAATGCCGGCCTACCGGCCCCCTCGCCGGGCGGCCTGGCCGGCGGGCCCGTTGATCCGGCCACACTGCCAGCCCGGCGCCCGGCCCAATGGCGTGCCCTCGACCTGGCCAGCCGGCTGCCGGCCCCGGTACCGGCCGAGCGCCTGTATGCCACGCTCAAGGGCCTGGCCATGCAGGCGGTCTTGTCCTGTGGCTCGCTCAGCCTGGATGTAAGCTTCGACGAGTGCGTAACCGGGTGGCGCCCTTGGGCGCCTGCTTGTTTTACCTCGCCTCTGCCCCATCGCTCGGCTGCCCCTCCTACCCCCCCCCCGCCCTGCTCAGCTTGTGGGCCCTTTCGGCCTGGCCTCTGCCGCATGCATATACCCGACTCGTGCTCACCTCCTTCCTCCGCGCCGCACCGCCGACAGCGCCCAAGTCGATGACCAGGCCACCGATCCCCTGTACCCGGTGGTGCTGGCCCGAGAGACCTCGGAGCGCGGGGCCACCGCCGCCGGCCGCACGGCAGCACGCCCTGGCGAGGCGCCGGATCACGGCCCACCGAACGGGCCGCGCATTCGCGAGCTGGATGACGGCCCGGCCGGCGACATCCACGAGGAGCACCTGCACTTCACCGAGACGCCGGTCGCCGGGCAGCCGGCGGCCACCGGGCACCAGCCCCCGGCGGCGGCGGCGGCGGCGGCGGCGGCGGCCACGCCCGCGGCTCCCCGCCGCCGGGCCCCCAAGCCCATCTTCAACCTGGCCATCCGGGCCGTGGTCCCGATCAACCCGATGGACCGGCCGGAGCTGGTGTGGCGCACGCTCCTAGACTCCGGGCAGCTGGTCACCGAGCCGCTGGGCGGACACGGGCCCGAGACCGGGCCCGACCCATCGACCGCCGGGCCGGGGCTCCTGGCCGAGATCCTCAGCCAGGCTTCCCGCCCGGTGGGCCGGTATTATGCGGTCATCGATGTGGGCCCGCGCCCCGGGGCGACGGGCTCCCTGGCGGGGGGCCATGCGCAGGCCGGCCCCCGGCCGCCGTCCACGCCCGACGCCCGGGCTGCCGGCAGCCTGCCCGTGCAGGAGCCCGCCGAGCCGGGCGGCCCGGCCGAGCGGCCGACCTTCCCCCTGGCCCCCGGCGGCACGCCCCTGCCGGGGCAGCAGCTGGTGGACCTGGTGGACCGGCTGTCGCCGAAGGTCTGGTCGCTGACCTCCTCCCGGGGCTTGGTCCTGTCGCTGGTCCGCATCAAGCTGGCGCCCTTGCGCTTGCGCCTGTCCGAGGGGTTCATCGTGCGCATTGGCAGCTTCGTGCAGGACTCCGTGCCGCCGGCCACCAGCCGACTGGCCCCCTCGGGCCCGGTGGCCGGGCTTGTGGCCGGCCGCCCCGCGCGGCCCAAGCCCCCCCCCGGCGCGGCCCCGGTGCGCGTCGGCATGATCGACCTGGCCGTGGCCCGGTGCATCCAGGGCCCGCTGCCCCGGCCGGCGGGCCAGGCCCCAGGCGACCCGCTGGCCCGCGAGGCGCGCACATGGCCCGGCGGCCCGGCCATCGCCACGCCGCTCGGCAACCCGCCGGACCTCGGGGCGCGATATCCCCTCCACATGCTGGATGCCAGCCGGCCGCTGCCCCCGCCGCCGGCCGACGCGCGGTCGCTCTTCTCCGGCGTCATTCACATCAAAGTGCTGGAGATCGGCCAGCTGTCCATCCTGCTGACCCTTGTCCGGGCGCAAAACCAAGACGAGCGATACACCGCCCTTTCCTCCTCCACGGCGGGGCCCTCGTCGGCGGGGGCCGTGTCGGCCGCCTCCAGGGCCGACGGCCTGGCCGAGGCAGGCGACGAGGGGCTTGGCCCCCGCCGCGGCCGCACCCTCGGCGCCGAGGGCACCGCCGCCGCCGCCGCCGCCGCCGCCGCCACCACCTACGAGCAAGCCGCCGCCCATGATGCCGCCAATCTGCTCTCCTGGACCGAGGAGGCCGGCGGGGCCGGGCGCCCGCCCCTCCGGTCGTCCACCGCCACCCTGCTCAACATCGCCGCCGCCACCATGGGCCAGGTGGAAGATGCACGCATCCGCCTTCGGCCCCTGCGCGCCACCGACATCGAGGCCATCCAGGGCGTGGCCAGCCTGTCGGACACCGTGTGGCTGCACTACCGCGGCCAGCTCATCCGCCAGGTGTGTCCCTCCTCCCGTCTCTGACGCGCCTTTAGCCAATTGCCGCCCGCCCGCCCATCAGCGCGGATCTGGCTCCCATGCCACCGACGTCGCGGCATGCAGTGCGCCCCTCTGACCTTCGCCTTGCCCTCTCCGCGGCCCGGCCGCTGGTCGTTCCGTCTCCCGGGCCCGTTCGGCGCGCGCGCCCTGCCCGGGGGGACCCCTGCCGGCGACCACCCCGTGGCCACAGTTCTACGCGGTCCTCGGCGCGGTGGACGTCCTCGGCAACCCGATATCCACCATTCGCAACATCAACACCGGCGTGCAGGACATCTTCATCACGCCCTTCCGCGGGGCCCGGGCCGATGGGATCAGCCGCACGGCCACCCCGCTCACGGGAGCCGCGCGCATTTGCGTCGCCGGCATCGACGCTGTCAGCCGCGTGGCCCAGAGCGTCAGCCGTGGCTTGACCGAGGCCACCCTGGACCCGCGCTTCCAGGCCAAGCGGACCGGTACGCATACGCACACATACACACACACACATTCATAGACATACATACATACATGCAAATGCACATGCATCTGCGCAACCACCGGCACCACCAGTGCACGAGGCGAGTCCCCTGGCGGGGGCTTTCTTGCCTCCCTCCGCCCCCTCGCCCTGTGGCTAACTCGACGTCGATCGTACCCCTGGGCGGCAGTGCTCCGCCGCGAAGCGCGAAGCTGCAACTTCCGCCGCGGGGTCGCCCTGGCTGCCTACTCCGTGCTGTCGGGCGTATCCAGCGGCGTGAGCGGCGTCGTCGAGCAGGTACGCATCCGGACAGCACCCCTCCCCAAGCACTCCTCGATCGGTGCTTGTGCTCCGGCACCTGGGCCCGCTGCTGCCTGGAGGGGGATCCCGAGGCCGATCGCCTAGTGCCGCACTAACCCACCCACACGCACACCCACCCCATTGGCGTGGCGGCGCGCCATGCACAGCCGCGCAAGTCCGTCCGCGCGGCCGGCAAGAGTGGGCTCATCACCGGCACGACCAAGGGCGTTGTCGGCCTGTTTGTCAAGCCGGTTGTCGGGCTGGTTGACGGTGCAGTGACCGGTACGCCGCCTCGAGGTCTTTTTGTGTGGCGCTCAAGGCCCGGCACGCGTCCCGGCCTGATGGCGGGGCCGTGTGCCCCCCGAGCGCGCCTGCCAAAAAAAAAAAACACCACCACCCCGCCCCTACCACCCGGAGCCCAGGACTGACCCGGCCGGCACCGCCCGAACGCCCCCCCCCCCCCAGTGGCCCAGGGCCTAAAGCACCGCCTCGAGGGCAGCCTCAGTGTGCAGAGCGTGCGCCAGCGCCCGCCGCGCGCACTCCCCGCCTCCACGGCCGCCACCTTCAACACCACGATTTCCCTGCTCCAGCACCACCGGGCAGCCCTCGGCGACGCGACGCTGGCTGCGACGGCCGCCGCCGCAGCGGCCGCCGCCGCCGGCGGCAACATGCAACAGCTACTCGCCCAGACCGACCTGCCGGTGGACCTGCTTTCGGAGTTCCTGGTCCGGGAGGACCCCCCCGGCGCCGGGCTCCCCCGGAACAGCTCCCTCGACCGGTGGTGGGTGAATGAACTGCTGGCGGCCCTGCAAGCCGGCACCCCCGGCCGGACCGACAGCAGCCCCAGCACGGGGATCCTATCGACGGGGTCTTCCTCGCGATCGCCCTCGGGCCGGCTGCCGGCCGGGCCCGGCATGGCCACCGGCCCGTCGGCCAGTCGCAGCAGCTTGGCCGACCCGCTGGCCATGGAAATCCGCGAGCAGGAGCTCTTCATCCGCCTGATGGAGGCCATCGACGCCAAGGCCCTCATCCACCGGATCCCCTCGCTGGCATCGCAGCCGCAACAGATCGCCGCATATAACCTCCACCGGGCCCGGGCTCTGGCCATCATGGCTCGACATGTCACCGGGAATGGCGCCCTCCGGAGCTGGCGCTATCTGGCCCATGGCCGGCTGCGCGCCTCGCGGCCCCTGGCCGAGTCGATCGAACCCTCGCGCCAGCCGCCGCTGCTCCTGGCCGCAGCCCGATCATCGGCACCCAGCACGGCCGCCACACCCGCCGGACAGACCGGGCCCCCGGTGGCCGAGCCGCCCGGCGGCGTCCACCACCCAGCCGACGCCCCCGCCCCGGCGGACCACCCGCCCACCGGGGGGGGACCACTTGATGAGGTCCTCCTCATCACCGATCGCGGCTTGATCCTGGTCCGCGGGGCCGACCTCGAAAGTGACAACCTGGCAACCGGGTCCACCTCCTGGACCGGGTCCGATCGCGAGCGCCTTGTCTGGGTCCTGCCGTGGGAGTGCGTCGAGCGGGTGCGCTACAGTGGCGGCCGGTTTGTCGACATCCTGGCCCTCGGCGACCCGAGCCTCTTCTACGTCTTCCCGGCCGTGTGTACGCACCACAGCCAGAAGATGCCGGACGCCGGTGGCCCCGGCAACCGGCACCCAGGCTCCTACGGCACCAGCAAAAGTCCAACCGCGGCCCCGGCCATCGATCCTACTCCCCGGCCCTGGCGCCAGTCCATTCCACGCCCGACGGAGCCGGCCGCCCCCCCGGCCGCGAGTTGTCCCCCGGACGCCGCCGCCGCCGGCGACCCCCCGGCGGTGGCACTGTCCCCGGGGCCGGGGGCCGGGCCGATGGCACCCCCCCGGCCCGTGGGCCGGGCCGCCGGCGCCTCGACCCTGTGGCCGGTGGCCGTCGACCGGTCGTATCGGTATGCGGCGGCGCCGGCCGCACCGGCAGCCACCGGCCCCGGCTCCGGCCGCAACCGGGCCACCGGTCGCCGACACCACAGCCCCCCGGCCACGTCACACCGCCGGGCCCAGGCCGGCCCCCCGGCCCCGGGGCCCGGCCAGATGGTGGTCATCCTGGCCACCGAGGCGCCGACCCTGGCCACCGGTCTCCCGGAGGGGGGCCTCCTGGAACAGACCGACGCATGCCGCGTCGCGTGCGGGCACTTCACCATCCCGAGGCCCGAGGGGGCTGCGATGCCCGGGCCCCCCCCGGCCAAGGGGCCCCCCGGGCCGACCTTCGGCCCGCCCCCCCCGGCCGCCGACCCCGACCGGCACTTCTGCCTGGAGAGCTTCACGCGCTTTGCCCCGGCCGGCTTGCTGGCCGATCCGCACCTGGAGTATGACCCGGACATGCCGCGCTTCCTGGCCCGGCTCAAGCGCCCGGAACAACGCGACGTCCGCATCTCCCGGCGCCTGGTCTGCCAGAGCGCCCGACATGCCGGGCGTCTGTACGAGCAGTGCCTCGCGGCCCTCGGGGCCTGGGTCATCGACTCGAGCAGCATCTAGCCCAGGCCGGGGGCGCGGAGCCAGGAACACGCCCACCGGGAGGTGGTGGTGGCGGTGCAAACCACCCCCAGCACGCGGGACCGCCATACGACCACCTGCCCCCCCCCCCCCCCCCCCCCCCCCCCCCCCCCCGCCCCCCCCCCCCCCCCCCCCCCCCCCCCCCCCCCCCCCCCCCCCCCCCCCCCCCCACCCCCCCCCCCCCCCCCCCCCCCCCCCCCGGCGAGGACCCGACGGGATGGCCACACGATCCGACAATACACGCGCACTCTTCCAAAGGCCCAAGGTGAAGGAGGACAAAAGAACGCCACGAGGAGAGGCCCCTCCCCGAGGGGAGGGCGGAGCTCGGCCGGGCCGGGCTTACTATGTTGATGAGCACAAAGAGGCGCGGGTGTATTGCCAGCTGACGAGGAGGCAGGGCGACCGCGCGAGACCCCAGGCAGACAGGGCGAGCGCCGGGCGAGAGAGCGAACGCCACCTTAGAAGGTGGGCTCCGGCAGGTCGTAATAGTCGTGGTGGCTGCCGGACTCGAACTTGCTGTCGCGCAGGAGAACCAGCAGCTTGTCGGCCGAGGCCTCGGCCGACAGGAGAGCGCCCTGGCAAGGCACAGCCATGTCAGCATCCCAGACCAGCGGCAAAGGGCAGGCAGCATAGGGGGGGGGGGGGCGCACGGAGGCTTTGGGGGTAGTTGTCGAAGGTCTGGCGCATCTCCTCGGCACCGAGCTCGGTGCGGACGGTGGCCTGCATCGGGGTGTCCAGCGGCCCGGGGGCGTAGTTC